TACAGTGTGTGTGGAGATCTCGCACGCTCTGGACTGATCTGATCTGAAATGCTCAGCTGCATTTATTATTCCACAGCTGGAAAAGGAAAACCATCAATGTTTTGAAACTGATAAAAATTTCACCAGGATGCGTGATTCAAAGCATTGATGGTCCATTTTTTAAACTTTTATATCAAATACCTGCCTTATGCAAGTGGAGTCTGACAGATGTATTTTCAGGATAATGTTATATTTCTGTCACAGCTCATGAAAGCTGTCTTCCGTCCCTTGCCACACTGTTAAAACTATTTTCCGTTACTACTTCGGCTGCGATTCAACGTAGAACATAGCTTCTTCATTCAATTCAGTGAATTCAGCTGGGAACGAAGGGGATAATTCACTGGTTGGTGGCCACAGCGAGCCCTTGTTTGCTGTTCCAGAGCTGTAACCTCCATTCCTGTGCTGGATGGTTAAACTCCACAGTGGCAGGCCGGGTGAGAGTTTAATTTGCCGAATAAGACTTTGCTGTTTCTTTTGCTAGGTTGCCACGGGTGACGGTTCTTCATGAATACATTGGTCACAGAGTCTTTGAGGTCCCCCTCTCCGCAGCTGTCGAAGATGTCAAGCAGCTTATCTGCACAGACACAGACTTCCCCATCTCTGAGCAGCAGCTGTTCCACAATGGGAAAGAGGTAATGAAATAAGAAACGACTGCGGCTCGGATTGTTTTCCCACCCTTCCTCTTGACATTGTTTTGAGCCCGGTCAGAGTTTTTACCCAGGCACAAAAAGCGGCTCTGCTTTCAGCAGGAAGTCTAAGCGTTGGAGCCCCAAGTGTCGAATGGTTTTGTCTGGAGAGCTTCAGGCCCGGTCCCGCAATACTGGGGGTCTGTGCAGAGCAAATGGAGTTGGAAACAGTGGTCATGTTCCTGAGGGCTAGAGGGGAGAGCACTCAGCATCTGTTCCAGTGACAGGCTTCACGAATTTCCACATGACAACGTCAAAACAAAAGTCATAAAGCATTGAAGAAACATTTTTCAAAACACAGAGACTTTCTCACAGCTCGGTGCTGTTAGAACACTGCCAAAATGATACCAGTGGGTTGTAGTGCTGTTCTTGCCTCTCAGTGTCACAGCTGTATCCCTCTCCAGTGCGTCAGCTGGGGTTATACCCAGCTGCGAGTTTGACAGTGAGCTGAGACATGACACACCTTGTGAAAGGGAAAAGTGAGGCAAACACTATTCATTCCTTTGGTGAAGCCAATCACTGTGATTTGTCTGTCCACACCTGTCGTTGATGTGTTATAAGCACAGGAATGAGGGTATTTAGAGCGCTGTGAGATTTTTAATAACTAACATAGGGAATGCAGGTCTTCTACAGATTGGTTTTGATTACAGGGGACAGCAGCTTTTATAAAGAGATTCCCACACACTAGGATGCCTGAAACCTGTTTTGCCACAACAAAAGTTTTTTTCTGCTTCTTAATCTAAAATGCTGATAAAGATTACAAATTAACAGGTGATAATGTGTTTACTACATTGTGTTGTTCTGCAACATTCAGTGCTGTTTTATTTATCCACCAGCACAAAGTCCTTTACAGATTCTGTGAGAGCCAGAGTTCAGGGAATGTGGTTCATTGTTTTTCCAGTTATTGCCCAGACAGGATTAAGATGGCACAGCTGGGAGCTTTTCAGCTCCTCTGCCTGTTCCTTCTGAAGGGTGTGAAAATTTGTCGGATTGATTGCTGTATCGGGGCAGGGTGATTTGCTCCCAATTCAGTCTTACATGCTCACTCTTCCTCCTTGTGTTGGCTAATGATAAAATTAGTTTTTAGTTTTGCCCCAGTCTAAAACTGACTTCCTCAGCTAACTTTATAAATGAAAGTTGGATGAAACAAAACAAGTCTTTTTTTTGTAATGTGCTGACTTTAGGCAAAAGCAATCGAAAACAGATTTTCCCACAGCGCCATTACAGTTACAATCCAGTCTTTCAACGGATCTGCCGGCTGTGTTGCAGCTGGTAGCTGTTTCTGTGGATGTGGACAGAAAGGGGGAAGCAGATACAAAGGCCTGAATCATCGCTGAAAAGTCCCGCTCAGTTATTTAGTCATCCCAGCAGGATGCTAACCAGGGTTTGCGGGGATATCTGTAGTTCTGGAGTCTCTGTTTCTGACATGAATTATGCTGCATTCTGTGGCAGAATCAGTCTCCAATCTTGACTTTGAGTTGATATCCCCAGGCTCTTCTTGGAGAATAACAGTAACAGATTTGGCAAGGAGGTTTAAAACAATACAAGTACTGTACATGTCTGTTAATGTGCCCTTGTGGCTTGTATACACATTGCCTATGTTGCCTTTGGAGTTTTGTATGTACAGCACTGAAGGAGATTTGTAAGGGTGTGTCTGCCAGTGGTGTAGATGCAGTACCTGGAGATATGGAGCTATTCAAGACCTGTATATTCAAAATCTCGCTTTGAGCCTATTCTAGAGCTGTTGGAAAGTGCAAGTTTTAATGATCTATTGGTAATTAATAGGAGGAATTATCCCTCCCAATAAGCATGTGAAGGTTTGCCAGTCTTCAGAGGGTGGCTCCCGCAGTGCTTTGGGCCTGCATGAGCCTTGTTTCAAGGGGATAACATGGGAACCCAGTAAAGGGAGCAGAACTGCTTTCAAAATGCTGTCCAACACTGTCAGTGGCTCAGAAGAATCTCCTGACCTGTGGGATCAACAGGCTGCCATTTAGCTATACTTTCTTCTGAAATCTGCTTTCCAGGCTGTGTGTCTGCTATTTCATTTACTGCAGACGTTTCAGGATTAAATCAGGAAGACTCTCCTTCCTCTTTGCATCGTGCAGGATACAATTGTAATACACTGCTGTTCCTGAGCACTGCAGCCCTGGTGAAAACATTTAACTGGCTCCAGGAAGCAGCTGGTGGGGTAGAGTACTGTAGGAGTGGAATGGGAGAAGTGCCGTGAGTGGGATTTAGGGTTACAACATCCACTAACACAAATTACTTGACATTAAAGCAATATATTCTGATTTCCAAATGATAAGTCCTATTCTTTAATGTTTTCCTGATATATGACCTCCATAGTAAAATGGAATGGCGAGCTGAAACCTACGCCGTTGGTTAAAAGATCTTCAGTTTTTTATTTTCATAGATAAGGTACAAATCTCAGCTGTAGCAAGAAATCGAAGTTGAAGAGAAAATGGGCGCTGTTTCCTGCCTGCTCACTTGTGTCATCGTCGCGTCTCGGTTGCTCTGTGTCACGGCAGTGTCACTGACGACTGTCTTGAATGGCAAAGTGTCGGGTTTCTACTGCAGACAGCCGTGTGCCAGGTGCATCACAAGCCCTTCTCTTTCGGCCCAAGTCAAAAACCTTCATTTTTTCAAAAACTCTTTTAAGGAGATGAATGGAGAAGGTCAATGTGGCATTTTAAGTTATAAATCTGAAAACTGAAATACAACAGCCATAATAAACGGGGCTCGGATGCAGTTTCTCTGTGTGTTTCAGCAGTGATCATCGTCAGCTGCATTTGTCTTTCCTACTGCAATACGTCATTCATGAGAATATATTAAATCATTTTCATCCTCTTGAATAAAACTCAAGATATGGACACTTGATGACTGCTTGTCGTCTGTCTGTGCCTTTCAATCAACCATGCCTGGCAGTCCCCAAATGCTAGGTAGCTAACATTTCCTTTGTATCGGACTCTGCCTCACGATAAAATAACATTCGCCTGAAGTTGAAGACCAGTGTTTCAAGAGTGTGAACATTCGGTGACACGTTTCTGCTCCACAGTTTGCCTCATTGTAATGTTTGGAGCAGTGAGCATGTGTGCACTGGCATTGCTGTGACATGATATCACTTTTCAGTTTACTCAGCGGCTGGTGGAGGGTGTCTATGAAATATTTAGCCGTGTGGTTCACCCTGCTGGACAGCGCGGTCTGGCTTGCAGATATTTTGAAGGGCACAGGCAGGTTAGCGGAATAGTTTTACAGAGAGTTAATGTCCAAATACAACAAATATGAGCCTGGACTTAAGAAGTAAAGACAGGAGTTAGAGAGCGACCGAAATGAGTAATCACTAAACTCTAAACGTGTTATGTAATATAGATTCTAGTATTGATGTAACTCCTATGGTGTCAGTTTGAATATTTTCATTGGATGCTGCAGATACAGTATGTCACTTTTTCTACTTGCAGTAGCTCTGGAATGTTGTTCTATGTATGTTCATTTATAGTAGAAATAGGTAGAAGAAAAGTGCTGCGTCTTCAGTAAGTTGGCTTTATTATTGGGGTTGGGAAGACGAGAGACAGGACAGATAAGATGCTTGAGTTGCAGGTGAAGGATAGCCTCTTGTTTTTGTGAAGTGTTTCCTTTCCTGTCTGCGCACCGCTCTGCAGAACTCGCAGCAGGGGCTGGGCAGCCCGCGACGGTGCCCTGCAGCTGGTAGGAGGCGACAAAATGTCAAACCACTTAGCTTTCCATTGATGGAGGAATAAACTCGGGGGAAGATCTTACAGTATGGAAGCACGAATGAAGACTCAGGGAGAAATGGCTATAAAAGGCAAAGGGGGCTGAAGCAAGCGCTTATGGGTTATTGGCAGGAAGCCTCCTTGAAGTTTCAGTCTGGTTGAAGGGCTCTGAAAGTGTCCCGTGTGAAAGAGCAGGTGAAACTAGGTCTCACCCCCCAGCACCAGCTTGCTGGGTGGCTCCCAGCCCCGTGGGCAGGTGCCACAACGCTCTCCTGTCTGGAGCCTCGGCTCCTTTATTGCCGCTGTGCAGAATCGGGGAATGCGTCTCTCCTGCTGGCAGGTTTGGACAGGACGGATGCGCTGCAGCGATGTAGCTGTCAATCTGTCAACGCAGGGTGAGAACGTGGCAGAGCTGAGCTCCAGAAAACGCAAGCAATCAGTTTAATATCACTTATACTGGCTAAGCAGCCCCCTTGTGTTTGTGAGAACAGTAGTGCTCGATCGCAGTGTCACAGCACTGAACTCTAGTTGAGTTGGGGTCAGAAAGGATCCAAGACAGAACTCATCTGTTGTTTTTCTTTCAAGAGGGAAATGAACTTTGCGTCCTTCAGAGGTCACTAGTTAACACACGCTTCAAAGACAAGTGCGCTCCTTTCGTTACAGTGAGAAACAGTCTGAAGCTGCATTTAGAAAAGATCTCTCAGAATGATGAGGGTTTTAGTCCTCAGTGTATCTTGTGTGATGGAATATTGTGTTTTGAGCTAAGATTTTGGTCAAATCCTTGACCCCAAAAAATAGCTCGTATAGCCAAGGCATCAACTCCCTGCTTCCTCAACATAACCAAGTCAATTATTAGTCAATTGAAAAAAAGAACGGTGTTATTTTCAGTGATCTTTAATTAAAAACAAGCAGTTTCGAAAAGGAAAACAAATACCAGTGACATACAAACACATATGTAGATATCTGTTGTGTTAATGGTTCACTTGGTGAAAGATTGCGAAGGAATTGATCAGGAGTTTGAAGCTGCACCAGAACAATACAGGGAGTGATGGAGGTCACTCTGGCATTCTGGCATTGGTGAGGACATTTCTGTTTCAGAAGGGTGATGGGTGTTATTATGTTTTGTGTGCTTTCTCCTCTATGAAAACTCCCTAGTCCCTTCAAATAGCTCACTGGGTCTTTGAATTTTCCGCAGAGGAAGCGTGGAATGTTTTCCCATTGGTAAGCACCCTGCACAGACAAAGTCCTGCTCTGTCTGATTCCCCAGCAGTAAGCTTCTTAAGCGCAGTGGGTGAGTGTTTGTTTGACCTGGTCTTTCACAGGACAGCTTTAAAACCCTTGAATCACGCTGGAAGTTCGAGCCGGTCACACCTGACAACCCTCCACAAGCACTCACTTGCTCGGCAGCTTTCTCTGCACCCTGCCAGCACTCCGTTCACGTGTGCTGTCCTGTCAGCTGAGCTGCGATCTGGACAAGCCTGGCTTTTCCTCGTGAGTGCCTGCCCAGCAGAAGCAGGTTCTTGGTTTCCCAAAGGCTTTCACTTGGGTCTTTCTCTGCATGGCCTTCTGGTACACCTGTGCTGTCGGCTTCATCACGCCTCTGAGCCGCCAACATAGACATGCAGTGGATGTTTTAACTCTGTCAACCCCTGGAAATGATTTTCTGAGGTATAACAAGTGTTCTCCTGGGTCACAGGATATAGTGCTGGGGGCCCTTAATTCAGTCGATTGAATCTCATTATTGACGACTGGGACTTCCACTTCCAAAAACTGCTGTAGGCTTCTGTTATGAGTTGAGTCTTTCTTCGGGTGTAATGCAGTTCTACAAAAAAAATCAGTATTTTTGCCATAGAGTATATTTCTGAACATACTGAAGCTCCAGTTCCTTCCCAGAAGATTCTCTGGTAAACGAGTAGCCTTTTAAAACAGATACGGTAAAGAGGCACGACAAAAGTCAAGAATCCATCAGTCTTTAACTCTCAGGAGAAGAAAAGCCTCTTGTTTGCATGGCTCTATTTGAGCTCCTTGGTAATGAGCTGGACTTGCTTAACAAGAGCAGGAATGTGTGGAAGTCGTTTTTTCTGGGGAAACTCTGGGGAGCAACACGAAACATTTTCTGTGCCGGTACAGAACGGTGTAACTGTCAAACATTGTACACACACATTGTCACAGAGTGACATAGTACAAAGCACATCTCTGGCTTATGTAAAGCATTTTTTGCAAAAAATTATTGCAGTGATTTAGGGGTGGAACTGGCCTGTTTTGCCTGTATAGCGATTTGCAACTTGGATTCTGATTTGTGTAGTAATACTTGGGATTTGTGTACCAGTTCCGGAAAGGTATTTATTGAAGACATTTGTATGTTATAAATTACACAAATTCTACAAATTCTCTGTGATAGTTATTCATATTTTTAATTGCTCCCTTTTGCTTGTTTATCCATTTTAAACAGATTTGTCTGGATCTTAATCCATAGAATAATTAACATGACTAATTAACTGTATAAACATTTGTTCTTGTTTCTTTTTTTAAGAATTCTATTAAGTTTAACTAGACTTGCTCTTCCTAAGTCCATGTCTTAAAATGCCCTTGTCTTGTAAATATTCTAATTGAGCTCTAGCTGTCATTTCCCTTATTTTAGTAGTGGCAAGTAAGACTGGTTACCTTGGATCAGTTTTGTCCATCTTTATATAAACTGATGTTACATCTGAAGTTCTCCTGCCTGTGGAGATCCTGATCCCACCCTTAGTGAGATCTGAAATATCATCGCTAGGAGTCTAGGAATAATATCCCTCATTTCCTTAGGTATGACAGGAATCTATTAGTTTTAAGCTGTCTTAGTGCCCTGCAGAATCTCAGTGTCAGGTATGCTGAAGTTATCCAATATAATTGATCTTCTTTGACTTGGGGCATGTTGTCATTTTCTTGCAAAAACTTGTATGAAATATTCATTTAGTACATTTACAGATTTTTTCATCTTGTTCTCGTATTTCCCCATACTGTCATAAACTGCTTGTCCTTTTACAGCTCGGCACTGAAAGAACTGCTTCCCTTTATGTCTGATTCCTTCGCAGTTTTCTTTTCTGTATGTCTCTTAGTGATAATAGTATTCATTTCCAGCGGCTCCTGCGGCTCTTCATACTTCTTCCTTCTGTCTTCAAATATCTGGCCCTTCTACTTCTCAGTAGAGGGCTGTGTTCCATCAGATTTATTTTGCAGTTTTTCTATTAAACCACTTAATTAATATTTTCCTAGACTTGGACTTCATTGTTTTAGATTTTGACTTTGTTCTGAGCATTTAATATATATTTATTATATATCTGAATTATGACCATCTTTGCTTTACTAACTCCTGATCCTTCTTTTTCCAGTTTTCTGCCTCAAAGCTCTGCCTTGTCTGTACATTGGTTGCTTTTCTTAAAGTATAAACCTAAATATGGACACAAATGTTAGAGATATAAAGTATTCATTTACCACAGGTATGGTCACAGTTTCACAGTTTGTCTTGCCTGGTATCCTTGTAGTTGCACGGTGACATCAGGCTTGGGAACCTGTTACTCCCTGGAAGCTATGAAGTATTCATGACACTTCGAGGAAGAGGCCTTAAAGGAGGAGGTGAGAAATTTCTCTGAGTTGTATTATAAATTACACAGGAGATAATGTGCCTTAATTTTCATTTTAATCTAGCCTAAAGGCAGGATGAATGCTTAAGTAAATTTACAGTGGAATCATTTTCTTTTTAATTGACATTCAGAGCAACAGTTTGTCTTGAAAAATCAGTGTCCCCTCAAAGTGCAAAAATGACTCCTGCCCTATTACTACACCTCATTTAAAAGAGCTTAATCTTGTACTACTGTTATTCATCATAGGGCACCAGCTAAATTAAGTTAGAGCTCTTGGACTCTTAGCTGGGAGACTGTAGGTTCAAATCTCAAGGGAGGCATAGCTGTTGTGTCCTTGAGTAAGAAGCTCAAGGCACCCAAAATCAAAATGCTTGGTTCACAACTAAATGTAGACAAAAAAAAACAATGCAGAAGAAGCTCGAACAGTACGAGTTTCAGCCCTTTTTTTTGGACTTGCACACTGCTTGTTGGGGCAAGAAGAACAGAACTCCATGATACCTGCTGGTTTACAGAGCTATGATAGACAGTCTGTGCTTGAATGGGCAGGCCTCTCACTGGCCAACTCCTGCTCTTCTTTCCAAGGTGGTTTCAATAGACAACATAGACATTTGTTAGTTATAGACATAGTTCATTTCACAGTTTCTTCGCCGTCTTAGGACTTTCTTGGCAAATGTGCACAGTAGATCCCAGACTGCAGTGTGGAATTGGAGCTGTGATCACCCACAAGGGAAGAGTTTGAGTTCAGGGCACATGCTGGGTGTTATTACAGTGCTCAGGGCTCTGCACTCGTAACCTGAAGGTTGTGAGGTCAGATGCCCAACTGTATACACGGGTACAAATGCAAGGCACTCTGGCTAAAAGTGTCAGCCAAATAACTGAAGAATAATCTTATTCATATTCTTACCCCGGTCAGAGGGGAGTTTCAAATGCATGTGTGTCGCTTGTGGTCTCTCCAGGGAGGTTTGGCCAAACCACACCACCGCTGGTCGAGTTCCTGAAGGACATTCTGCGGCGATATCCCGAGGGAGGGCAGATCCTTAAAGTAAGTGCGGCCCATCTCCAGACCCTCCCTGCTCGCACGTTTTCCCTCCAGACACGTCAACGGTGAGGCAGGTTCTCCTGAACTCTGCTTCTGCTCCTCTCCCCTCAGGAACTGATTCAGAATGCAGAAGACGCTGGAGCCTCAGAGGTCAAGTTCATGTATGATGAAATGGAGTACGGCCAGGAGTCGCTCTGGTCCGACGACATGGCCCAGTACCAGGGTGAGTGTTGCATCAGTGCAGGAGCAGCTGCGGAGGTTCAGAAGCCAGGTGGAGTGAACATCTGAGGTGACAGTAGAGCAGAGAGAGCTCCCCTGTGTTTTAAACTGATTACTCTCCCCTCAGCTGCAATCGCTTTTAGAAACTTGAACAGATCATGATCATTCCCCGCCAAAACTGGAGACTGCTGTACAAGCGCTTTGCCAGTGAAAGAAGTAGTCAGGCGAGCCTGATCTTAGTGAGTCTACATTTAAAAAAAAACAGATGAAGACTAGTCCTTCAGCATTGTCCTCCTGTCTCTGTAGTAATGACGGGGATTGGGTCGGGTTGGGGACATCCTTACACCCGCTTCTTCTCTCTCCCGAAAGGGCCAGCCCTGTACGCCTATAACAACGCGGTGTTTACTGCGGAGGACTGGAACGGCATTCAGGAGATCGCGCGGAGCAGGAAGCGAGAAGATCCCCTGAAGGTGGGCAGATTTGGCATCGGGTTCAACTCCGTCTATCACATCACAGGTGAGCACACGGCGCCTGTGACGCAGACCCGCCCACATCAAAGGCCCCGAGAAAAAGGCAAACATGTAGGTGTATCTTAAAATAGGACGGCAGATACGTTCATTAAGTATTTCATTTTGCTGTCTGCAAAATGTCAGCAAAATGTCAGTTTTTTAAATATTTTTTTGTTTTTCTTCATATATTTGTGAGCCACATTGCTTGGCTTTTCTTTATCTAGATTTGTGATGCAATATGCTTAAACTCAATAATCTCAAATTGTTTCGTGAAAACACCTACTATTTGAACCTCTCGATGAATAGGTTATTACTTGCTGTTTCTCTAGACGTCCCTAGCATTTTCAGTGGAGATCAGATTGGCATTCTGGACCCCCATCAAGCCCTGTTCGGACCCCATGAATCTGGCCAGTGCTGGAACTTGAAGTCGGATGTTAAGGAAATCGATGAGCACGCGGACCAGTTTGCACCCTACGTGGGCTTATTTGGCATCTCTGAGAAGACAATCAAGGACGGAGGTTTCCCCGGCACCTTGTTCCGGTTTCCTCTCCGCATCAAGCCCTCCCAGCTGAGCAGCAACATCTACAACAAAGAGAAGGTGCTGGAGCTGTTCGAGTCCTTCAAGGCGGACGCGGACACTGTGCTGCTGTTCCTCAAGAGCGTGCAGGTGGTCTCCCTGCACGTCCGCGAGTCGGACGGCACCGAGCGCATGCTCTTCAGGGTGACGGCCAGCGAGAACCCGGAGCTGAAGCTGGAGAGGCCCAGCTCCCTGAAGACCCTGGGCCTGGCGATAGACAGCTACAGCAACGGCCTGCCCAGCGGCAGCATCACGTGCGCCACCTACCAGCTCAACATCGAGATGGAGGACGAGACGGCCAAGGAGGTGCAGAGGACCTCGTGGCTGGTGTGCAACAGCGTGGGGGGCCGCGGGATGTGCAACGAACTGGACTGCTTGGCGGACGACCTGAGGTTCATCCCCACCATCGGCATCGCCATGCCCCTGACGGCCACGGACGAGGACAAGGGAGCAGCGTCGGGCTTCCTGGGGAGAGCGTTCTGCTTCCTGCCGCTCCCCCCCGGGGAGGAGAGCACCACCGGGCTTCCCGTCCACGTCAGCGGCTTCTTCGGCCTGACCGACAACCGGAGGAGCATCAAGTGGCGAGAAGTGGATCAGTGGCGAGACCCTGCCGCTCTGTGGAACGAGCTGCTCGTGGCTCACATGGTCCCCAGGGCCTACGCCACGCTCCTCCTGGAAGCCATCAAGAGAATCCAGACCGCGAAGGACCAGGACTTTTCCCTCTCGCCTGAGGGCGTCTACAAGGCCTGGCCGGACCTGGGGCAGATCAGGGCTCGCTGGAAACCCATCCTAGCTCCCCTGTTCAAGGCCCTGCTCCAGCAGCCGGTCATCTTCTCCGCCAGCAAGTGCTGGCTGAAGGTGGAGGAGGTGTTCTTCTCCGAGCTGGACGACGGGGCGGACGGCACGGAGGCGGTGCTGAGCTTCCTGCAGGGCGCGGGCCTGCAGGTGGCCAGGGCGCCGGCCTCAGTGGCCGCAGCGCTGGCCGCGTTCGCCGCGGAGCCCGGGGCGGTGAGGAAGGTGACCCCCGCGCTGGCGCGGCAGGTGCTGCGCAAGTCCCGGCCCCGGGTGCCGGCGCCGGAGAGGCAGCAGCTCCTGGAGTTCGTGCTGAGCGACGCCTGTTACGGCGAGCTGATCGGGCTGGAGCTGCTGCCGCTGCAGGACGAGACCTGCGTGGCGTTCTCCTCTTCCGCCAGCGACAAGGACGCGGTGTACATTGCCACCGAGGACTACCCCAGGTACGAGCTGCCACGCGGGCGGTGTCTGGCTTCCGTCATGCGTGTTTCTCTCTGCGTTAACAACCGGCTTTCCCAAAAACAAACCTGTTGGAGCCTTTCTCTCCGTCTCCTTCTGTTGTGCATATTCAACAGGCTGTAAGAGAATGGCTGTCGGCAGAATCTTTATATGTGCCGTAATCAGTTGGCACTGATCCCGTTTCTTTCTGCATTGGTAAACAGTGTTTTAGTCCTGATAATTAAGAAGTTGTCTAATCTTAAGCAACATGTGAGGTTGCTGTCTGTTAGTAGGAAATCTTATATAGAAGGAGTGGAAGGCAAGGCTATAAGAGACTCCTTTAGAAAAAAGCCTTAAGCACGGGAAGTCAGTGTTTGCTGCCATGTCTCTGATAGACGGCACATTTAATCCCAGAACACTGCCTGTGTTTCCCCGCAAGGTCTCTGTTCCCGGGGCTGGAGGGACGATTTTTGTCAGAAAGCATAAAGCCGTCGGTCATGCGAGTGCTGGTGGAAGCAGCCAAGAGCAGAGGTAAGTGTCTTTTAAAGCGATGTGAGGATAAGTGACAGCAGAGCTGTGCTTGTGTGAAACTCCAGTGTGTTATACGAAACAGTTCCATGCGCTTCGTAATAGAAAACACTCATACTGTGAGCCTGTTATCGCAGCTTCTGCACCTTATATTCTTAACAAGGTTTGATGAAGATGTGCTTTTTGGTCAAGAAGCACACATGAGACCAGGAAAGAGGTGTTAAATGTAATTCCTTAACTGCTCCTTTGTTCCACTTGTGTTCTCTCTTCTGTGTTGTGCAGTAGGACTCGGCTTGTAAGAATTTATCACTTCACCATGGGAATTGGTCTTGCTGTTATCTTAAAAACTGCTTATTCCAATTCCATCAAGAAACCACCAGTGTGATTTGTCAGTGTTTCCTATCACACGATACTGTAGGTCCTGAAGCCACAGTTTTAACCACTGATACAGGACTCTCATGAGGGAGCTGGTGATCATTTATAGGTAGAAGAGCTTTGCAAATGTGCTGAAACTGACTGGACCGGTCAAATCTGCATAATGAAGCTATTCCAGATCAAGAATAAATTCCAGTATTGCTAATTACAGCGACCTTGAAAAATAAGCTGTTCTGTAAAGGTGTACTGTGCACAATAATGCACAGTCTAGCCAATGTGCTGCTAAGATACCGTGCAAACAAAAGGCTCTTTCAGATCATTTTCATCTCCTGTTGCAAGCCCCGTCTGGCTCGACAGTAGGTCCCCTCTTCTCCCTCCTCTCGGCGGACCCAGGGGGATGTGAAATCGGGTGCTGAGCTGGCAGATAATTTCTTACTGCTGTGAGTGTGAGCTGGTAGACGAGAGAGCTGGATTCCTCCTTGTCACTCTGCCTGGGACTGTCAGAGCCTGACAAGCCATCCTCTATCGCCAGCCAGATAGGGGCCAGCATGAATTGTGCTGAACTGGCACGTTTTAAAAGTAAAGCTGGGAATGGCAGCACAAGAATAAAAATGTACCTGTTATTTTAGCATAAGGCCCTCTCTTCTTGTCGCTGGAGACGTGGGCTGTATCTTGTCTCGGCGCCACTCATTCTGAGCCTCCCAGTCTTCTGTAGTTTGCCTTTCTGTGTCGGAAGGCCAGTGAAATTTCCAGAGGGCGCAGCTGGAGTGGACCGGGGCTCTGGCTCGTGCTGGACGTCTGAGTGACTGAGCACAGACAGAGGGGGCCACTGTGTGTGGCAGAGAGAGATGGGTATGCTGAATCCTCCCATTGTTGTCATCCAGTCGGGAACTGCAGAGTTTGTTGCGCTCCATAAAACAGACTTGTTCATGAAAAGGAGTGAATGAAAATGAGCTGGACGCCACGCAAAAGTGGGATTTTGCATTAGTCATCACAAAACAATAATGGAAGTTATGAGGTTCCCACCTTTTTAAACTCGGCATGAGGAAATGCATCGTAAGGGTGTCTATTGATGTCTCCTCATAATTTTCGGAGGTTCCCTAAAGCAGAAGATTATATAAGGATATGACAGCAAAATTTGTGATCAAGGAAAAGTACTTTACAGTGGACTACGTCAGTGCATTTCATTTTAGCAAACAAATTCAGTCTACGTGCATTTGGGGTTGATTTCTTAACTGTATTGTAGTGTCAGTAACACTTCAGGATTTTGTTTCTGAAGAAAAACTAAAACAGCAATAAGACCGAAGTCCTATTATCTTCTCTAATAGCTTAGATAGTCTGTGAAAAGATTGGCTCTGACTGTACAGTTTATAAACTTTGAGTGTAAAGTACAGTGCCTTGCAGGATTGTCAGAGCATGTTTTGGAATTGACCTTGCAGGTAGTCGGATATAAGGCGATGAGTCTTGTGGAATGTGACAGTAGGTTCTCATTCCTACTGGGGGAAGGTGATGGAACGGCTCTTCTAACATGGTCTCACTGAGAAAAGAGGGAAGAAGTGCAAGCCCAGTTCTGCTCTGGGTCCTGTCCGATAGGAATGAAAAATCACACATGTCCCCCTGAGAGGGAACAGCCAACAAGTATGAGATTGAGCTCTTTGTTGTACCTACTTCTCGCTGTGGTTTAAATGTTTTGGTCTTGATCTTGTGCTCACAGAACGTGGTCTTGCACTTACGTTGGTGTTTTAAAGACGCAGATAATAATCGCAGAAAAATGTAGGAAGTTTTAATCAAGACTGACATGTACAGTGACTTTAAAAGCTACAAACATTAATTGCGTTTAAGCCATTAGTAGTTTTTATCAACTGCTAGTTCACTTTACTTTATCTGTAAGGTTTAGAAGTTGCGGTGATTGGAAAACCATAATTTAAAAATAAATGACAACAAAATTTTAAATCACTTTTTCCCTAGTACATTTTATTTTTGTTCCAGTTTAATGAAATGTTTTCAAGATCTGTATATAATATTTATTTAAGATAAGGATGTTCTTTTCATAAAGTATACACTGCCTTTATTCTACAATGTAGTATTTGTTAGTAATAGCACTAGAAATTCTGTTTTATCAACTTTTTCAATATAAAATGTTTTAAATATTTTGTTCATCTATATTGCTGTTCATTTGTCTTTAAATCCCAGTACAACAACTTCTCTGGGGATGTACAGGTAGGAATGTGCAATGTAGTGTTGTTTATGAAGGCCTAACAATACTACCTCACCAGGAAGGCATCATAATCAGTATGTGTGTGTGATTGTACCTGGTTGATGTTGGAGTTTAGATCAGTGGTTTTCCCTACAAAGATGTGTTTGGTGATGTGATTGTAATGTGCTACTTGCCTCCCCAAATCTTTGCTTTTTCTGTTGGATACTTCATGTTTGTACAGTGGCCACACTTGAAGAGGAGAAAAGATTGTTTTTGATTTGGCATGTCTAATTTATAATCATACATTTGAAATGGGTAACTATAAACATATTTCGTGCATTTTATTGCTTATGTCCACTGCTTGAGAACACAAATGTGCAGGTTCAGTGCGGACTTTTGCAAACTGAAAGTGTTCCTTGAGCCTTTGGCACTGAGCACGTGACATTTTTCTTAATTATGGGGAAAACCTGTGTTTCTTTTGCACTGTGTTGTGCAGTAGTGGCACGGACCTCTCTTTCAAGCATCTCTGTGGGCAAGCTGGCACATCGGGCAGTTCTCTAAGGCTAAATACAGAGGTGAGGTCATGCCATTGCGAATCAGTGGCTAACTCTGGGAGTGTATTTGTCACAAGCTTGTGTGTAAATACACCTAGTTATGTATTAGGAGTTGGGTGTTACAGGCAGTGTAATGCATTTAAATTTATAGTTACCCAATGGAAATAAAGAATCCAAATTCAATTTGAATTAAAATATTTCAATTAATAAATATAAACAATGCACGGATTGTCTTGTTGATGTTTTGGTTTCTAACCGAGTTAACTTTAACTTTACTTTGATGTGCAATTTTACAGTTAACAAGAGGTCTTACTAAAAAGGTCAAGAAAGCAGAATGGATATCTTGTGATGTGCATATGATAATTAGATACGATTTGTTATGGTGTTTTCTGCATGCATTGCATGATTTCAGTAAAATGTATGTACTATTATATGAAGGATGACTGTAAAATTATCTTTTTACATACAGTATGATGTAAAACAGTTATATTTACCATTTTATCTGTAAAGTAATCAATCCTATTTTACATATAGTAATAAGATTAGCAGTAGAATAAAATATGTATTGTCATTGTAGACACGTTGTTCAGTAATATTCAGTAATTGAGAGCATCTTGAGAATTATTTTGAACTCAAGATCAAGAACCAGTTGTTTTCTGCATAAGGATATAGATAATTTTTTTACAGAAAATACTAAATGGCACTGTTTTTTCTTTTAAA